CATAATGATAGCCTTTTATATAATTACAGCACAGTCATCAGATGAGGACATTAACAATGATACAATGTTATTAGCTATTCTGGAGACCCGCTGCAATTTTTGCCACTTGTCCTAAAAATGTCCTTTGGAAAAAAGAGAAAATGTCTTGCTCATTACCTTCTAGATGTTTCTTTGTCCTGCTGCTGGCAGCGTTCAATCTGGCCCCTTGGTTAAAAGGTCACCTTCCAAGTTACCCCACGAAACCCCCGATTGTTTCTCAGAATTCATTGACGGACTCAGGGTTATCTTATTGGAAGACAACAGAGATGCTGGGAACTCCTGTGGCTCCTGGGGGAAATAAAACCCAGTGAGTGTCAGATAGACAGAGTCTGTGTTCCCCAGAATGGAAGAATTAATTCTAAGAAACAATGGAGGTTACAAGGAAAACTTTATCGGAGGGGGGGCAGCAGAAGAGGGAGAGGTCCTTCGAGATAGGAGGGGACCCAAGCGGGGTGCCAATGAGCAAGCCCACTTCTCAAAGGATGTTTTATAGAGCTAAATCCCAAGGTGGCTAAAACGTGGGTCAAAACTATGAACGACCAATAAGATTACAAGTAGAGCCTCTTAGGTAATATTGATCCAATGGGGAAGCAGGTCACATGGTGAGTATGCATGGAAGGAACAAAGATGGTTTTAGGAAGGGATGATCAGGGGGTCCTGGTCACCCACTGGGTGGCTGCTGTCTATTTAGCATTTACTGGGCAGGTGATGCCAATGATCTTATCCCCTGGGGAGGCGTGTCAGCCTGATCATTCCATCTTTAATAGATGCAGCTCCTGCCACAGGTGTGATGTATTTTCCTCTTCTGCACCGACTCCCTGGAGGGCCCGGCCCTGTCTGACTGCCGAGGATATTTCTACCGGCTTAGCTGTCTGCGATATTTCTACCCGCTTAGCTGTCTGCAGCAGAACCGTCACCGAGGAATTTCAACAACCATTCACAACTCTTGGCTGAATCATTCGCTACTGTAAATGTTGCTGTGCCCAGTTTGGATTCCACTACAAGAAAGAGCTTTCCTGCAGTCTGACTTTACATCCCACTCTCAACTGGGGTTCTCATTTCATTTAATACGTGAAAAGTCCTGTACAATCCTTAATGATTCCCATGCTTACATTATCCCTGATTTGTTCAGAAGAAGCCCCTCCAAGCTGCTGGCTCTTCTTTTCCTACATTTACATTTAAACCTTTTTATTTCATTAATTTATTTGAACATAGGATCTTACTAACTTGCCCAGGCTGCACTCGAACTTGTAGTCCTCCTGCCCCAGCTCTCCTGTTTCCTCTTGGGGTTATGTCCAGGGGTGGACAGCACACCACACTGTGTCAGCCACATCACTGCTCCTCTGGAGACTCAGCTGCCAGTGGCCCTAAACCCTGCACCAGTAAAGAATGAAAAGAGGCAAAATTTAGTATAACAAAGGCCGGTTCATTTGGGAAGAAAAGATGGAAAAGAAGGGGATGGACAGCACCGTGGCGGTGGGGGCTTCAGAGCTGCGTGCCATAAGTGCTTGTCCATGGCTCCTTTTACGGGGACACATACATTCCCATGCCCAGGTGGGCACCTGTTGCTGTTGGATCTGTTGCCTCCAGTGCCTTTTATCTTAACCTGGGCGCGCTGGCCACACGGTTTCTTCCAGTTCCTGTGCAGTGAGGGAAGGGCGAGGCCTATTAGGAAGGCGGCTTATTTGATGATTAAGTAGAGGGGGCTTGTGGACCTGTGTGTGTCTGCTGCAGGACGTTACTGATGCTAAAGTGAGAACATACACAGCTGTGTCCATGTGCAGGTGCATGTGTGTGTGTTACGTACTAAATGAGAATCCTTGGGGGCTGTCCCTTAGCGCCCCTGCATTTGTCAGGTGGCTTAGGGGAGCTGGCTTTCCTGGCATCTGTGGTGCCTGGGCCTCTCCACATCCAGCTAGCTTTTCCCTCCTTTGTCAGAAACTGTTTTGAGTAAGTTTTCCTATTGCTCTTAATAAAGCTCAGTGAGGCCTCTATCCTATCCCTTCCTACCTGCAGGGCCAGCTGTCCCTACATTGTGTCCTCTGCCCTGCTCCTTTAGGTGGAGAGAGGCATTTGGGAGCCAACCTGGGCTGGGGTTGCTCTTCAGGCCCTGGTGGATGGAGCCAGGAGATGTGTGTACACTTGGGCTGTGGCCATGTCCACCTCCATCCGTGCACACTCAGGCCCGGTGTTCACACCTACACTCCGGCCCTACCCTGACATGCACAGGGGAGGGGTGCTTCCTGGCCTCCACCCTTCCTGCTTGGGCCCCTTCCCGCCTCTGAGACACCTGAATCCATTTGCAATACAGTTCTCCTCGGCCCCACCCTATGCCGCACAGAAGGTCACTTCAGAACCGCTAACCATTCTCCTGGCTGAAGACACTTCTGACGGCAACACAGGAATGGTTGCTTGAGCTTCTTTTTTGATTTTCACCTTTGTATATATAACAGAAACAAGGCTTCAGCCTTAACTTAGAGTGTTTCTCCCATATCCTCTTGCAGTGTGGTTTTGATGTCCATTTGAAACAGATTAAGTTTATGGGTTTCTACTTGAAATCCGTTTAAGATTTTGACTCATTCCTGTTGGTATTGTATTACATGTAAGATATTGACGTGGTTCCAAGTCAGAGTTGCGCTCTCCCTTCTCACCCTTCTCCCATCCCGAAGCATCTTGTTTCTGCTCTGTTCCCATCCAGCCCTATTGATAGAGGCTGGTTTTTCTTTACCTGTGTCTCTTCTATCAGCAGCTGGTGCACACAGACTTCGCGATCCCCCTTGTTGCCTGCTCTGAAGCCTTCTGCACGCTGTCTCAGAACCCTCTGCACATTGTTCTCGCAGCCCTGGCTCCCTCTTTGGCTGCAGCTGGAAGTGCTGCACTGTGCTTCTGGAAGCAGCACAATTCGTTCTAGCACTTTCCTACTGTCCCAGTCAGGGTCTCCTCTCTGGGGCACAATGTCAGACACCCACATCTTAAACAGAGTAGTGATTTTGGCTCATGTTTTTGCTCTGTGGTTGGCCTGTTCCAATGCAGGGACTGTGGTGGAAGAGTCCAGCAGAGGAAAAGCTGCTCACATCCTGGGAACCAGGAAGCAGAGAGAGAGAGAGAGAGAGAGAGAGAGACAGAGAGAGAGAGAGAGAGAGAGAGAGGAGGAGGAGGAGCCAGGAAGTAATGCCTCCAGCGACCACCTCCCCGTGCCAGGCCCCACTTCCTAACATCCGATGTAGCCACAGCACCCCAGTGACTCAGTCACCCTTCCACAGCCTTACCTATGAGCATCTAAGGCTTTGGCGGAGACAGATTTAACCTATAACACCTACATAGGGTGTGTTGGTTGTATTTTATAGTACATAATTTAACCGCAAAAACTGCTTTAATTTTACCACTTAAAACAATGTTGCAATGAATGACGGTATGAGTGTGTATTTTTAAATTGCCAAATTGAATCTTCAGGGTGGGTTTCCAGAAGTGGGACCACTGAGGCATAGTGAAAAGGGTATACAGTGTCTTCAGAAGATACCAGATTCTCAGAAGAGTCCTGTTGTTTTTCTTTCTGAGAAGATGTGAGCTACAGGTCTGCATCTGGAGACTTATCTGTGATGTGTGGGTCGTGCTTTGTGATTTCTTCCAATCTCAGATCTAGCACATCCATTTATTTGTAGCTTTAATTTATATTTCTTTACTTGTGAGTGTTGTTAGTTTTCCTATATGTATGGCCAGTTTCAGTACGTTTTTGGTGAATTGTGTGTTCATGTATTTGTTCATTTCCAATTGTTTCACTCTATTTTTCTCAAGGGGCAAGTCTCTCTCCACTAAGGATATTTGTACTTTATCTGGAATACAGTGCAAACATGAAAATATTATCTCCCAGCATATCATTTTTCTTTTGACTGGGCTTATGATATTTTAAGTAATGCAAATATTTTTTTAAATTACATTGGGAAATTTATCATTGAAAAAATGAATTTGGATTTTGAGCCATGATTAGAAAATGTTTCCTATAGAGGAATTAATTCATGTTTTCTTTACTACTTAAAAAAAGCTTTAATTTTCGTACCTTTAAGCCACTCATCCACTTGAAGTTGATACTTACGTATGTTGTGAGATATGGATCTAATTGTATCTTTCTCTTCAAATGGCTACCCAGTGGCCCGGCAACATTTATTTTAAAAGTCTATATTTGCATCAATATTTGAGTACCACCTTTATCATGCTGTAAACTTTTAGATGTTCTTGGATTTATTTATGGACTTCATTCTGTTGGTCTCCTTTTCTAATCACATACCAGGGCCATTAAACACAGTTCAAGCTTAGGAAAATTATACCTCACCAGTAACCTGCCAGCTTGCTGTTAGGCTGACCTGTATCAAATGGCCACCAGTCACCAGTTCTGCAAAACCCTCAGTTTTACATATTTCCACCTAATATATGATTTGAGGACTGTCTAGAGTGATTTACTGGCTGATTCCAGGTGGAATAGAAAAACTCCAGCCAGGTGGACTTCAGAACTTTCATCTTGTGTTTTAGTTACTTTCTCATCACTGAGACACAATACACCTGCTGCTTAAAGGAAGAGGTTTACTTAGGCTCACAGAGCAGAGGTATCAGTCCGTGTCCTCCGGCTCACAGGCAGGGCCTGGCAGAGGGGAGACAGTCCATGGCAGGAAGCAGCCAGGGATCAAGGGAAGAGGAGGGAGATAGACCCTGCCAGGCCACGCCCCCAGCGGCCACCTCCTCCAGTCAGGCTCCACTTCCCAAATCGCAGTTAGCCAGGAGCTCATCAGTACACTAACCCACCAGTAAACATCACGTCCCTGGATCCAGGCACCTACCCAAGGCCCCACCTCTGAGCAGGAGCCTTTGGGGGACATGTAGCTATAAACCAGAGCTCTTGCTTGCAGACCTGACCATCCCAAGGAGCTGCTAATCCTCCTGCCTTTTCTCTCTTCCTCCTCCCTCAGTGATAGAGAGCCGTGGAGTCGCAGACAGCACGCCGAGATTCTCCTCACTTCCGCCCTACCTGCCCGTGAGCTTCAGCGTGCAGGGCGCGGACAGTGCCTTCTTCCTGCAGGAAACTCAGCCGCAGGACGCACTGCGCAACGCCAGCCTGCGTGCCAGGATCGCGTCCTTCTTCGCCTACAAGGCCCAGCAGCCCCCGGTGCTGAACGCCAGCTACGGGCCTTTCTGGGCAGGAAAGGCGGTGCCCCCCGAACTGGTGCGGACCTCCAGCGCCTTTGGCCCGAGCAGCAGGTCTGCTTTTGACTGGAAGCTGAAGGCCACCATCCTGCGCGACAAGATCTACCCGAGCCGCCCCAAGGTGCAGGTCCTCTTTCACCTGCTGGGCCGGGCCTGGGACGAGCCGCGGCCCGCGGAGAGGCTGCCCTGTCTGCG